CGCCGTTAAGGAATCCTCAAGCGATATTCACCTTGGCTGGAGGACAATGCGTTCTGATGCCGTCATAATTTTTTCCTTGCTCTTATTGTTTACTATACTAATAAAATGGTGGGTGAAAAGGATGCTGGGAAGGAAGGGTGTCCGAAGCGACCTCTCGCAATCAGGGTCAACAGTCACGTTCGCACATTTTCGAAATTTTTGCGACCCCCCCCCTCTCGGGAGAGTCCAGTTGTGAGTCGCAATCCTTAAAGGCAAGCCCCAGGATAGAACTGGTGTATAAGAGCACATCTATCGATGACTGAGCTGCGGAGTGAACTAAAAGCGGATAGGAAAGCAAGAGAGGAAGCCCTAAAAATGGGTCCTTAAACTTCAGTAAGGTCGGATGTGGTACAATGACGAGACTGGGGGATCGGAGGCAAAACACGCGAGAGAGCACGCCGTTGGAGAGAGCACTGTGATCTTTACAGAATCGTTATGAGGAGCGTTGAATGGGGATCAAAGCAGGCCCGTGGGCACACCGTACTATTTCCTCGCAGCATCCTCCCTAGTAATCGGGATAATCCCAGGGCTTGCCTTCGAAAGGAATATGTTGTCGCGCCCGTTATGCAGGCATCTTGATTTGCTGGCAGGGTGAAAATCGTGTCGAGTACGTGGTCGCAGAGGTACGACCCCCCCCCCCGAAATCGAGATCCTGGCACGACCCCCTCTAACAGAGCAAATTAATTCAATTAAAATAAATCCTGCAAAACAAATCAAAAAAAATTCTGCAAAATAATGCTAAGGACGCCTCATCTTGTCATCTATGCACGTCTTCATCGCTGCATACTTTTGTGTACATACTGAAATATCGACTCGAGGAAAGAGGCATTAACTTTGTGTGACCTCAAAGCGAGGTTCGTTCAGAAACGCACAGAAATCCTGAAGACACGGGGTTGCGATTCAATCTTGATTCTTGCTTGAGTATATCAAAACAGCCGAGTGTATCAAAGGCCGATTCAACGGCAGCTGCGGCGCGATTGTCACTGGGTCAGATTTGCCGAAATTTCAAAAAAAAACGTCCGAATCTACACCCTCGATGAAAAGGTTGCATTCCTCCATTTCACAACCTTTGAAGCAGCTTGAGGTAGAGTTAGATAGAGCTGGATTTCGCGTTTCCAACAAGTATTGAAATTGCTCTGGAAGCCTTCCATGCAGAAAGATAGGGTCTCTCAAATTTCGTCGAGTAAATGTCGAGGAGGCTGAAATTTTCACGCGAGTTTTTGCCACTTCAAGAGCAATATATCTCTTATATTGTAAGATCCTGAAAAAGGGAAGATAGTTTTGGAAAGCGGAAGGTTTGCGCTTCCTGATGGTCTGTTTAGTTTTCTTCTACAGCTTTTTGGTTGAAGAGATAATTGCGTCGAGGATCTATCGAGGACGGATCCGGCCACCTGGAAATCCGCTCCCTCATTCACCATTGCAAGTGTGACTCGTTGGCAACACTCGGAATGTGTCTAGAACAATATCTTTGAACGCAAACAATAAGAATAGGAGCAATCGTCATCATCCGATTTGGTATTGGTATAAGCCATGCATCCCTCCTCCACTCACAGTTGCAGAATCGATTGAAAGGTGTTATATGATGGGGACCTTCGAACGAAACTGTATTGTAGTAGACATAGTGTGTTGTGCTATTCCTGTAACCTAAAAAACAACTTCATTTGCCCAGCGCTTTTTCTTCACGGTTGTCGTTTTTGCGACAGGGTCCCTAACAACAGCGTCATTCTCAGCGAGGTATTAAGGGAGAAGGAGCGAGCGATAGGCAGAGGAGGTGCCTTTGCAGCGCGTGCGCACATGTGGCAGTCTTCTTTGCGGGGATGCACTTTCATTCTTTGTACTGCCTTCAAATACGCCCTTCTCATGAAGGTGGAGGAATGGAGCGACTGAACCTGCAAAGAAAATTTAATATCATGTTTTTTCGGATGTTTTCATTTTCTGCTGCGCTATACCCTCTTACCTATCTGCACCATGATACCACTTCTGTTACTGACCCCCAAGAGTACGACCCCCCATGGACCAGCCCAACAGGTACGACCCCCCTGTCGAGGATTTCCTCGACCGATATTCACCCTGTTGCTGGTGCAAGAGCCACCACCAGAGCTGAGGAGTAAATATTCAGACTTCGGAGCACCGTGAGATGTCCTTTGAACGGTGATGAGCATATGCAAGTGGATAACAAGAATAGGTGACAGAGTAGCACTCTACGGATTTTATGACGAATGACGTCATTGAACTTGAATCTATAACCCTAGCTCTTTATGACCTCGAAGTCTGACGAAAGTATCTTATCAGATCCGAAAGAAAACACAGAGATCAGAGTTGTAAAAAGGCTGTCCTTCACAATTCACAATTCACAGCTCGTCCATTATACCAAATAGAGATCGGATACGCGGCAGAATCAAATGATCAGAAACGGGCTAGTCTCATTTAATCCGCCGCTGCTTGAAAAATTGAATTCAGGCCATCTCTGTTCAGTCTAGTCCCGAGCATGCACTGATGAAGAATCTCATCCCAAATGAGGTAATTTCTATTACTTCTTTATGTTTCCATTACTCTCCTTGTTTGAACATTACTAACTGTTAAGGTGAACTTCACCGAAGTGAACACCGACGCTCCTCTCCATGGCGAAGTTTTACTTGAAGGTAGTCTAGCATTTCATGTTCTTGCAAGAGTGTAAAATGCTTTTTTTAACATCTCTTCGGTTTACGACTGGTTTCATCTGTAAAGGAGGGTTTACTGGCTTTTTTGAATTTGTGCTTTAGAAAACTAACGAAGTAAAATATTAAAAACCACCGACTAGCTTCCTTGTGATAGCCTTAAGCTCCATTTCTTCGGTCTATTCTAGTTTGTTAATTACCCGTATTTTCGCTCTGTTTTCTGCCTTAGACTCAGGTTGGTGGGAGAAAACCTGTAGGCATGAAAACCTCTCACCCACTTCGCAGTCTATTCCCTTTAAGACCTCGGTCAGACTCGGCGATTGCGTCGCTGGACACCAGCGACGGAGCCGCCAGCGACGGAGCCGCCAGCGACGGAGCCGCCAGCGACGGAGCCGCCCAGCGACGGAGCCGCCAGCGACGGAGCCGCCAGCCACAAGAGTGGGCAACGGGCGATGACTCATCACACGATCGATATCGGTTGGCAGGGGGAGATTAACCCTTTGACGACAATGCGGATTTGGACGTAGCGTGCTCGTGGGACCGCGCCTCTTTTTGGCGCGACCAAATCTTGCTCAACATTATGCAAAAAAAATTTAAATTTTCCCTGAACGCAGTTTTTCTTTCTGATTTTTGACTTTACCAATAGACAAAATGTAACTACAGATGAGAGCTTTCATAGTACACATTGTTGGGAAACGAATTGAACGTTTGGAAGGCTAACTCGGATTTCAAAGGGATGGTGGTTAAAAACTCTAGAAGTTCATACGTACAAAAGTATTTTGATATAGTTCAAACTCCTCATTGTGTCTTAAAACTATGAAAAGACTTAGAGGTCCTGATCGCTAATTTACCTTAAGCTTAATTATGTAAAAGACTAGTTATTATGTCGCCGAGCGAAGTGCCACATTCCAAAATTTCATACAAATTAGTAGTGTGATCGATCGATCGTGTGATGAGTCATCGCCCGTTGCCCACTCTTGTGGCTGGCGGCTCCGTCGCTGGCGGCTCCGTCGCTGGCGGCTCCGTCGCTGGCGGCTCCGTCGCTGGCGGCTCCGTCGCTGGCGGCTCCGTCGCTGGCGGCTCCGTCGCTGGCGGCTCCGTCGCTGGCGGCTCCGTCGCTGCGTCGTGGGGCATTCCGACGATTGGCGGCTCGTCGGTGGCGGCTCCGTCGGCTGGCGGCTCCGTCGCTGGCGGCTCCGTCGCTGGCGGCTCCGTCGCTGGCGGCTCCGTCGCTGGCGGCTCCGTCGCTGGCGGCTCCGTCGCTGGCGGCTCCGTCGCTGGCGGCTCCGTCGCTGGCGGCTCCGTCGCTGGCGGCTCCGTCGCTGGCGGCTCCGTCGCTGGCGGCTCCGTCGCTGGCGGCTCCGTCGCTGGCGGCTCCGTCGCTGGCGGCTCCGTCGCTGGCGGCTCCGTCGCTGGCGGCTCCGTCGCTGGCGGCTCCGTCGCTGGCGGCTCCGTCGCTGGCGGCTCCGTCGCTGGCGGCTCCGTCGCTGGCGGCTCCGTCGCTGGCGGCTCCGTCGCTGGCGGCTCCGTCGCTGGCGGCTCCGTCGCTGGCGGCTCCGTCGCTGGCGGCTCCGTCGCTGGCGGCTCCGTCGCTGGCGGCTCCGTCGCTGGCGGCTCCGTCGCTGGCGGCTCCGTCGCTGGCGGCTCCGTCGCTGGCGGCTCCGTCGCTGGCGGCTCCGTCGCTGGCGGCTCCGTCGCTGGCGGCTCCGTCGCTGGCGGCTCCGTCGCTGGCGGCTCCGTCGCTGGCGGCTCCGTCGCTGGCGGCTCCGTCGCTGGCGGCTCCGTCGCTGGCGGCTCCGTCGCTGGCGGCTCCGTCGCTGGCGGCTCCGTCGCTGGCGGCTCCGTCGCTGGCGGCTCCGTCGCTGGTGTCCAGCGACGCAATCGCCGAGTCTGACCGAGGGTCTAAGGCCGTTCTAAACGTTTATAATGAGAGCTAGAGATTGTTGGTTCTAAAAGCATTGGAACGCTCTGCGCCGCGATGTCCCTTCCTTCCCCCTCCCCACTTATTCAGATATGTAGATCCCAGCGACCTAGTGCAAGTATCCTATAGCGCCGCTATAATAGAGCACCGATTTCCTCCTGCCCTTTCGTCTCGCGTACTGAACTTGGCCCTTTGCTTCGCCAGTATTCGGTATACGCTGAATCTTAGGCGCACTCATCTTAGCGGCTACATTGCGCTTCTGGTACTGTAAGTGCAACAGGCAATCCAAATGCGAAACTCTGAACAGCAATTTTCCTTTTTATTTTTTTGGTTCATGAAATTTTGCTGAAGCGAATCATAAATATTCAAAAAAATTTCTATATTTTGATTCACAGTGTTCGGTCAACCACTGTCCATTTGCAGCTCATCCTGGTGCCAGTGGGAAGATAGACGTATTTCAGTCGCCTAGCTGACGGGGAAGCTGGATCTCAGGGCTGGAAGCAAACGCATAGCACACGGAGATCAGCAACTACGTTCGTTTTCGGGAGACGACATCTCAGGGCGCTGGAGACGATCTCTTGTGGCATGTTACGCTGATTCCTGATCGCTGATCAATACATCACCATTGTTCTTGTATCCGCGAAGTGTGTACTGACGCTGTCGACGCCATATTTATTTTCTTGCGCCAGCATATCCCACTTTTGAGAGTCACTAATCGTATCCTTCACGAGTTGCCCCGGCCGAATACTCTCTGAGGACGCCTGTACGCAAGCCCTTCTCTGGTTCTGTTGAACATCAGGTCCATCTATCGATTGCTAAAGATTAAATAAATAATACTAATCTGTGGAACGCAGTATTCCGAACTGAACTTAAGTTCTTATTCCTGATAAGTGTTTTTCGAGCTTCATCCCGAGAGAATTTGAATCGCGCGATGGTGTCGGGCCGAATTCTTAGCCTCTTACTGTGATAACTGTGATCTCTCGCTGTAATATTGAGTGACGTTATTCGTTGTGTTCATGTAGAGCCAATAAATTTCTATTTTTTCTCCACCATGTGTCAAAATTTAACAGATTTGGCAGAGGGAAGTGAAGATGCGATAGCAGAAAAAGTGAACAGATTTGTGCGCTCTGTAAAGTGTGACGGCGCGCTTCCTGTCAAAAAACGTGCAGTTAGTCTTACACTCAAGGCACTATTGATAGTGCGCTACCTTTTCACTAAAACGAGTAGTTCCATTCTTTCAGAGGAGAATTTTCAGAAACTGAACGCATCTCCCAAAGAGAAGTCCCTTCTTCCTCAAATTAGCGTTAATTCTTCGCAGTCGTTGGGTCCCCTGTCTCTGTTAACCGTCGCCACTTTGCTCTGTTCAGGGCCTTCCAACGTGACCGTGACCTCACTTAGGTCCTTAGTTAATAACGCCCTCCCTTCTTTGGGGCTACTCGCTGTCGCTTGCCTTGCACTTCAAAGTCCATCGTTGTTCTTATCGGATGATCCTGTGGCCTCTTTTGCAAATGTTCATACCATCGCAGACGCTGCTCCCGTATTTTCATTTGAAGAGGAGCAGGCTGCATGGCCGCACTGTTATCCTCTTTTCTGAGCCTGTCCAGTTGCGTCCAGCCGCAGACCCGTCTCAGCATCTTCGTTTCGGCTAAGTGAAGGTGCCTGCCTGGCTTCCTCAGGATGATGCCGTTGCGCTATTCACCCTCTTCACAATCCTGATGTCTGAAAGAGGAATTCACGATAAGAATAAAGGTTGAATAAGGAGTAATTCATCTGGTTGAAGACCGATGGACCTCCTGAGGGTGCGGACTGACGCGCAATTGGCACGAAAGATTTGACCTCGGCGACCTAGCATGGCTCATTCTTGGCGCGGTTGGCGGGGTACGCCCACCGACTATCTAATCACTCGCCGCAGGTCTATACGTGGCGAGTGATTAGCAGAGAGAGCGTAGTGTTGAGAGGGCACAGCGATGAGAGTTGCATCAGTGTGGAAATCAACGGCAGCGAAGGTCCCCCTTCTCGCGTTCTGGGCCGTCTCTCATGATTTTTCCTTTTTTTCGTGAACCACTCACCATCCCGTAATAACTCTGAAAGAGGTGTTCCATTCGGAATATATTACCGTTTTGATTAGCCCCATGAAATGCTTTGGCCACCTGAATGGGCTAACTTTCTCTGGCGTTTGCTTCCAAGTTTCCGTTCAAGGCGTTCATCTCGTTGTCGGCCGGCGACGGCAGCCTTCGCAAGCTTCTTGCAAGGTTTGTAGGCAGCGAGGTCCTCGGGGCTCCGGGTCTTCTGCCAGCGCTTGTATGCTTCCTTCTTCTGCTTCACGACTCGCTGGACCTCCTCGTTCCAGAACCACGCTGCCTTGTCTCCTCTGAATCCACCTCGCGTCTCGCCCAGTACCTCCTTGGCGCATCGTAGGATGATCTCAGCTGCATTGCCCCAAGTCCTGCATGCCACTGTAAATTTTGATCTCGAGCAATGACCAACCGTTCAATATGCGCTTGAGAGATGTCTGCCTCATTGCTTTGTCATGATTCCACCTCCTCTCGCGTTCCTAACCTGTGTCTTCTTTAGGTAGCGCCCGTCCTATGGGTATGTGTGCCAGGAGGGGGCCCTATTGCTTAGCGGAGCATTATTCGCCAAAGAGAGATATTTGATGACCTTCGCTGTCCTTTTACGGAGCACATGAAAAGCACATGGTCGATTTCCGTCTGTCTCCCTCCTACCGCTGTAAGTTACCTTCTGAGCCTACCCTTTTGCGAAGAACTTGCTGCAGACTTCTAGATCGTGAGCCGTAGCCAGGTCTAGAACCCTCTCTCCCTAGGCGTTCCTTATTCCTATTCCTCTTGTGACCACTGCCTCTAAATAGGACGTGAAATGCTCTCAGGCTGACTCACAGGCCTTTACACACAGACACTTCAAACTCACAGGCCAAAGAATAAATTTTCGGAAATTGCACCTGTATGTTGTTGTTCCGAACGACATCATTTTTACCATAACGGAACGCCTTGGGTACGTAACAGCAGAAGAGTTTCTTCGCTGCTAACCACTGCAAGCACCACGGTACTGCCTGAAATAATTGCTCTGATCATGACATCCTTCATACCTAATTCAATAGGCTTTCAAACGTTTGGTAGGAAGTTGGCAGATTCATTTTTTTTCATTGGCAAGCAACTCGCCGTTTGTTTCTCTTAGACAGGGTGCGCATCATCTTGGAAAGATGCCTTCTAAGGATTCAAATTGGAAATTCCGCAATGAAGTTGTAGAAGGAATAAAAGTTGACCGGAGGTGTTTTACCCTCCAACAAAAGCCTAATTACTTTCGCTCTTACAGCTTCCTGAATCTTTAGGATCTGCTGAAAATCTAAAAGATCTAAAGAGAAGGAAGGAATATCGCATATGCATGATGTTCCGATGCTACCACTTAAACTCAATGAAATGCGTCACTCGATGTGAGTGCACATATCCTCTGGCTGGGTGAGGTTTTGATATGGAAAAAACCCATCACATACTGCCAACATCGGCCGGAAGATCGATGGAAGGCGCAAATTCCCTGGAAGATGAATCAGTCCATAGGAAGCGTCAAGGGTGTAGAATGCACGCGAAGTAAAACTGGCATCTTGATGTGCTGAATCCAGCTCACGCAATGGTGGAGGAGCTCGTAAGTAACAGACCCTCAGGCCAAATAAAGCACTGCTCAGAATAGAACCAGTGTGAGATGTTGAGGAAAGAGTGAGAGGTCACAAAATAATAGCTCGGGACCTGTTAGAACGAAGTCGCTCCAGTTCATGAGAATTCTCCTAACCTGGGCGCGAAAATGGCGAAGGCCAAGATTCACAAGATTGCAGAACATGGAACAGCTCTCGCCTTGCGGTACTGTTCTAGTGCCGTTCCAAAAACTTTTGTGTTCATTCAGAACCGACATTCACTTTGTACAGTTCAAGCTTTTATGCTGGCTCTTTGGTTCTTTTTGTTGTGTTTCTGTTGTTATTTTAGTTGTCTTTTACTGATTCTTTATTCTACCAATCAAGGGGATCGCAGTCTTTCATTGAAGTTCAGTGATATTATTGATGAACTTTTCCCTTTTCGGCCAAAACCAATCGAGAGTATAGACTGGAGTTTCATCTGATCCTTCTTAACTCTTTTCTTTGAGCAGTCTCTCCATGCTCTGGTCTCACAAGGTTTGGAATTCCGCTCTCACCTGGCTTGCCGGTTCCACGAGGGCTGTCGGTATACTCGTGTCTCGAAGTTCCCATGACCCCTTTTGTGGCGCTAAGGGCACCATTGCCGACTGGTGTGGGTGTCTGCCGGATTTCCACTTGTTGTGGCTAGGGTGTTCTTCTGTCTCGGTCTCTGCTTTATTACTTCTTACCATTGACTTTTTCCTCTACGATGGCTGTTTCCCACTATGATAGCGGTTAGATGGTACGACTCCGATCCTCTTGTCTATTTATTTAGTATTTATTCAATGTTGATTTAGTGTTTGCATCACCTACCCAGTGTGTAAGAGCGCGTCATTGGGGCGCATAAATAAATAAATAAATAAATAGAAGTTATATGTCATATAGGCGTATCAGAGTGCAGCGAGGAGTTGGAACGTCGCACTTTTCTCTTAGCAAAAGACCTATTTTCCGTTATAAGCCCCGTATATTTCATGTAAAATCCTCCACTGTCTGTACATCTAGAGTCAACCGTAACATGCCCATAGGGGTAATTCGATATGCTGATCACGAAAACGACATTCGTTTTTAGCGGTGGCGGCATCTGGCGCCAGTTGGCGCCACCTTGTCACGACCCTTGTTTTCGCCAAAATCGGTGTAAACTTCAGTATAGGGGTTATTTGGGACCCTGATTACGAATATGACATTCGTTTTTGGCGTTAACGTTGTTTAGTGCACATGTCTCGGTTGGAGAGCGCAGACGAGCAGAAAATAGGCGTCAAACAGCGCCAGCGCCTATAATGAATGTCATATTCGTAATCAGGGTCCCAAATAACCCCTATACTGAAGTTTACACCGATTTTGACGAAAACAAGGGTCGTGACAAGGTGGCGCCAGATGGCGCCAGCGCTGAAAATGAAAGTCATTTTCGTGATCAGGGCATCGACTTACCTCTATAGGCAAATTTGCGGTGGTTTCTAAGGTGTACAAAGTTACACTGCACGAGCGGGGGTGGTTTTACGTGAAATCGGCGCGGGCTTATACACCGGAAATTAGGGTAATTTTTCTGGAAGTAATAGAGTAAGTCGATTGCATACAATAGGTTCTCATAAGTTTTGACTTATCCCAATGACGTGACGATGCAACTCACCTGCCAAGTTGGGTTTCGAAGGGCATACTTTTCCAAATGAACGAATATGCTCGATGTGCATGTGGCTATGCTAATGATAAATATCAAGCTCATGTAGTATATCCCTGAAAACGGAAAACATTATAATCTAAATTCAGGACGAAATTCAGTGCAAAGTATTAGGTTGTCATAAATAGTGTCCCCGCTTTTTGACGCTATTTAGACTATTCAACCCCCCAAAGAGTAGATAACTATAAAATTTTTTCGCTGAAACTTGCGCTTAGGTGGTTTTTGTTGTTTTTTGTTTGGTTATCGAGGCTCCTGATCACGAATATGACCTTAGTTTTTGGCGCTGGCGCCAAATTGGCGCCTTTTGGCGCCAAGGTGTTTTCACCAAATTCGCTGTAAAAACTTGTGATAGGGGTTATCGAGGCTCCTGATCACGAATATGACCTTAGTTTTGGCTCAATTTCTCTAGGTGACGCTCGAAATAGATGTCATCTAGGCGCTCATCCAGTAAGGGGGGGGGGCATCAAGTGGCTGCCCTCACCCCCCACCCCCCTGAACTGGCTTCACTCCCCCTGGCTCACGGGGCGTCTCTTCGAAAACCTAGTTGTGCCAGGGGGTTAGGCATCTAGGGGTGGGGTGAGGCAGCCACTTGATGCCCCCCTTACTGTATCAGCGCTTAGATGACATCTATTTCGAGCGTCACCTAGAGAAATTGAGCCAAAACTGAGGTCATATTCGTGATCAGGAGCCTCGATAACCCCTATTCACAAGTTTACAGCGAATTTGGTGAAAACACCCTTGGCGCCAATTGGCGCCAAAGGCGCCAATTTGACGCCAGCACTAAAAACTAAGGTCATATTCGTGATCAGGAGCCTCGATAACCCCTATCCACAAGTTTACAGCGAATTTGGTGAGAACACCCTTGGCGCCAATTGG